AGAAAGGTCCCGACCTGAAACGTCAACTTTCCTGCTCCTCTGATGCTGCCTGGCCTGCTGTGTTCCTCCAGCTCCACACTGTGTTATCTCTTATTCCATGTTTTGTTCTGATCAGGTCAGCTTGCGTGGATATAGTTGGCATCTAGTTATGTTTCAGGTCAATGGTAACCCCAGGAATTTGTCCAAATGGAGAACAATTATACTCAGTTGCTAGGAGTGCTCTACACAAGTGTTAATTCCCGCCTGTTTGGTAAGTAAAACTTCTTTGGCTGCACCTTCAAAACTGGAAAAGCCACCATGCCACACCATCTTCCCCAGTGTTTGTATCAGACACTTACGACTCCTTGCTCTTAAAGTGTAGCACCCCAAATTCAACTATAGTGAAGTCTGGATACATACTTGTTTGTTTTTTTTAGTACAATATGGTGTTTTACTTGGAGCTAATGTACACGGTCTCTGCCTTTGCCCCCTCTGACACGGTGTGCTAAACCAGCTCTCTGGGGCAGCAGCAGGCACTGGTGGTCTGGACTTGTGAGCTGCCCCTGCTGTAGTGGGGCGAGTGAAAAGCCTCAAACATGATGCACTCACAAATATCCTGCCACGTCGTTTTCCGAGGCTGTCACTTCTCCAGGAATTCCTCTACGTGTGGCCTCCGCTGTCAAAGAAAGAACATATGTGTCCTTTTTACCACCCGCAGTATTTAAGCAGCAGCTGGGATCCAATCAGAAGTAGCTTCACTGCTTTGCATCAACCCTGCCCTACCCTACGAAACACTTTAGCAATATCGTCACTTGGACATGCGGATTCTGTGTTTGAAATTGATTGTCGCGCTGGCGGGTGAGGTTAGCACCAGTGAAGGACGGCAACAGGGAGGTCCAGGAAAGAAAGTTCCTGCCGTTTATGTCCACAAAGTGTTGCAGCAGGTTCGTTCCAACCGCGGCACCACCTCCAAGGCCATGCTCATCAAGAACACGTTTGTAAATGAGTGCATTGTGTGGGAGGCTTTCTGCCTGACCCATCACAACAAGGCAAGCTCCATCAGCTCCCGGGAGTCCATTTAGCCCGTGCCTGCTGCTGCCTGGGGAGCTGGCTTGGTTCAACATGTCGGAGGGGTCAAAGGCAGAGACCAAGTACATCCACTCCAAATAAAATACCCCAACGCGCTGAAGAGAAAACATATCAAAAGGACATGGAAGCAAACGTCACTGTAGTTGAATTTGGGATGCTGCACTTTGAGAAGAACAGGGAGTGAATAAGTATCAGATACAGAGATTGGGAGATAGTGACATGGTGGTTAATACGACTAGAATAACAATCCAGCTAAATCTAGACTATATTCTAAGGGCATGCATTCGAATCCCACCAAGGTAGCTAGTGAAATTTCATTTTTCAAAAAATAGTTTTGCATTTGAAAACTAGCCTCAGTAATGATGACCATGAAACTGTCATCAGTTATTGTAAAAGCCCACCTCGTTCATTAATGTCCTTTAGGGAAGGAAATCTACCATCCTTAACTGGTCTGGCCTACATGTGACTCCAGAGCCACAGCAATGTGGCTGACTCTTAACTGCCGTCTGAAACAGCTTTAGCAAGCCACTCCATTCAAGGGCAATTAGGGATGGGCAACAAATGGGCTAGACTTTGCTAGCAACACCCACATGCATAAAAGTATAAAAATACAACTAAAAGTCAACACAAATAAGAAAGCCATTAAAAAAAAGCAAATAACAGGTGTTATGATCTGAAGGATAGAAATGAAAATCAGCGTTATTACAATAAATTTGTTTGAACCTTTGGTTAGATATCATTGGGATTACTGTGAACAGTGCTGGTGCTCATCAGGGAGACCTTAAATGAAATGGATTTAATTTCATACACAAAGCCATTGTTAAAGCTTTACATTTTTTGCGGACAGAGCTGATATGAATTACATTAGTGTGTGCGGAGAGTGGGTTTTTCTGTTTTGGCGAAACTGAATTACCCAGTGTCATCACTTGCTGATGATCATCTGTTCCCCTGGTTGAATACCCCATTCATCTTTCTGTATTTGGAAAGTGGCAACATTGGGCAGAGTGCTTGCAGCAACCTGGATTTGGAGCCTCCCAAGAGTTCAGGAAAAGGATAAGAAGGTAAGATCATAAGATAATTGTTCAGCCCATCGAGTCTGCTCTGCCATTCAATGATATCATGGCTAAGCTGATAATGCTCAACTCCACTTTCCTGCTTTCCCCACAACTCCCCCCCCCAACTCTCATAATATTCGATTCCGTTACTGATTAAAATTCCATCTATCTCAGCCTTAATGACCCAGCCTCGACTGCCCTTGGTGGTAAAGAACTCCACATATTCACTCCCCACTGAAGAAAGAAATTCCTCCCTATAACTGGTTGATCCCTTATTCTGAGATTACGTATAATGGTCCTAGAATCTCCTACAAGGGGAAACAACCCTTTTGTATCTACCCTTTCAAGTCCCCTAACAATCCTGTATGTTTGAATAAAATTGCCTCTTATTCTTCTATATTCCAAAGAATACAAGCCCAACCTATTCAAGCGCTCTTCATAAGACTGTCCCTCCATACATGGGATCAGTTTAGTGAATCTTCTCTGGACTGCCTCCAATGCCAATACATCATTCCTTAGATAAGGAGGCAAAACTGTTCACAGTATTCTAGCTGTGATCCCACTAATGCCTTGTATAGTTTCAGCAAAATCTCCCTACTTTTATACTCCATTCCTTTTGAAATAAAGGCCAACATTCCATTTGTCTTCTCTACTACCTGCTGAATTTATAGAGTCATTACTGCATACAGCACACAAACAGACCCTTCAATCCAACTCGTCCATGCCGATCAGGTATCCTAAACTGATCTAGTCCGCTTGCCAGCATTTAGCCCATA